GAGCCCAAGGGTCGATTGCAACCGGAGTTCGGATAATCACACCAATACTCAGGAACTGCCGTCCATAAAAACTCGAACAAATCGAGCCATTGAACGTCAAGGGCATAAGACCTCTTAGACAACCCTCGAATTTTAAAGGCTACGGCCGTACCCACTCGGGGACTGTTATCTTAGGCAAGCCTGGATAACTCGGGAAAGCGAGCTCACTGGGCTACACCTGAACTCAAAGGCTACGACTGATTAACACGATTCGGGGACGTCCGAAATTTGTAACAAAAGCAGGCCTTCGAAAAAGAGAAAATTCTTTCACAAATGGTTCTAAAGGCTACACTCGGCAGAATCTTAAACTTAAGATATTTTTGGGAAAAAACTTCGGTAACATCGAAACCCGATAACGCCTTAACTCAGGAAGGCAATAAAAGCAAGGTTTTGTTCGAACCGTCGAACACAACCTCATATCTCATGTTAAGGCATTACAACCTTTTGTGAACACGAATGATAAAACAAAGGGAGAAATTTTGAAGGCCGAAAAGGGTGGAAAGCATTATATATGTATTTAAATGATCGTTTTACAAAGGCCAGATCAGCCAAATAAAAATTTACAAAGGCTTAAGGGCTACTTTCACTTCGAGTCCGAAAAATTATTCTTACTAGACTAGAAAGCCTAAGGGCTACCTTATTTCGAGCTCGAGCAGGTCCTCACTCGACCATTAAACTTAAGGGCTACATAAACTCAACAATCATTCTAGGTCCATCAATTTAAAACGGCCGAGGGCAAGGCTTATTATCGGTCCTCACCATCCCAAACCTTGGATCCTCGAACATAACTTCATAATGTTATGCTAAGGCCTTTTGAACCTTGTATGAAATAACAAAAAGACAACAGATTTAGAAGCCATGGAAGGTAAATGGTTTCATATATTCATCATAATCTTTTTACAAGGGCCATATGCCCCGATTAAGAGTTCTTTACAAGGACCGATCGACCTCAAAATAAAAGCGGAAAATTACAAAAAGCACAAAGCCTAAGCAGCATAATCCTTATCGATAGAAGTATCTTCGCCATCAGAATCTTCTCCATCGCCAGATTCGCTCAAGTTCTTGGAGTCTTCCTCATGAAAAGCCAGCTTCTGAGCCTTTGTTTCCTCTGCCCCAAAAATCTCCAGCAGATCGTGGGCTGCCTCAAGGGCCTCCTTTCAAGCTTGTCACTTCGTATGATCCACCATGCTCTTGGCTTGCGCTAAGGTGGCTTCAGCATCGGCCTTGTATTGGGTCGCACTAGCCTGAGCCTTAATATTGGCCGCGGCCGTCTCAGATCTGGCCACGTCGAGCTCTATGGCCAAGTTAGCTAAATGGGATTGAAGCTCTTCGACCTTTTTTGCCTGAACCAAGGCATTCTCCCTTGCAACCCGAAGCTGAGACTCGACCAACTCCAGCGCAGCTTGGACGGCCTCCTTTTGTGAAGATAAGATATCCATGCACCCCTTGAACTTGTCAGCCTCGGCTCGTACTTCATCTATTTGCTTTTGAAGACCCTTGATTTGTTCGAGTCTCTGTCGAACCTGCAGAATCGGATCATTAGTTTTTATCTCCAACTTATCTTCACTATCATGAAGCACTTGGAATACCTGCTTGGCCATCTCAGCATGCTCATCTCGAGCCGTCACCAAATCTGTCTGAAGCTTCTCACTGAGAATCCTATAGGTATCACATTTCTCAGTGAGGCCATGAACCTCAGCCTTGCACTCCTCTTAGATTCGAAGGAAGGCATCGTGATGCAGCACTGAAGCCTGCAAGTCAGGAAGAAAGTATTAGTACCATCTACAATTCAAAGTTTTAAAAGGAAGGTAATAGAATGACCCTCAAACTTACCCGATTCTGAGCATGCTGGGCCTCGTTGAACAAGCAAGCAACTTCCACTTCATCCATCTTGGCTTGGTCCTCTTCAGTGACCAAGCATCAAAGATAGCTAGCCACCCCTACGGGGGCAGAAAAAACCCGAGCATCCTCCGGGACTGAGATGATAAGTGACCGTTTACGCCCGGGATCGACACTGAGGGTCGAGAATTGATTGGTCAGTTTAAAGCTCGAGGAAGCCTCACTCGGGCTCTTCCTCGGTACATCCAAGTCACCCAGACCGGTGACATCTTCCATCTCAACAAAGTAGCCACGGAAAGGGTTTTCTGCTTCATGGAACCCTTCACCGTGGCAAGTCTCCATCGCCTGAGCATCCTTGATCGTCGAATCAGAGAACGAAGGCAACGAGGGGGAATCTCCAATCTCTATTTCCCCAAGTAAATCTTTTGGGGCTCCGCCTTCATTTCGGGAAGCCTCGAGCGTGGTTTCTACACCAGCCTCGACCGCCTCCTCGGTATACTTCTCACATTGAGGTGAAGCGCCTTCAGCTTTTTCTGGCTCGGGGACTTTGTCAAAACGAGGCAAAGCAGTTTCAGCTCCCGCTGGCCCAGTAGTTCTTTGAATTTCGGTGCTAGTTCGCACGCGGGTCACCAACCCGAAATCTTCTTCTTGTTCATCTTCTTCAGCCTCATCCTTTAGCTGTTGGACTGACTCCATAGTCAGGCGGATGGCGTTCCCCTTAGGTTTACAGGGCCTCCTCGCCGGTTTTTTCTTTTTCGGGCCCGGAGAGCTCGAAGCCTCTTTTCTTTTCTTCTCTTTGCCCTGCTTTGGGGCAGATGATGAAAGAAGTGCCTCCTCTTCAGTAGATGGGGGCCTCATCGCTACATCCTTCCCGAGGCCTACAAAAGGAAAAAGATGAGTAAGTCCAATGCGAAGCCCGAATGAAAACCGTTCTAATAAAAGAAGATTACCGTAGTTACGGGCCTCCTAGTGACCCTTTGATAACTTTATCCAAGCACGCTCGGAGTAAGACTTTTGCGACACTAAGCCCTCGACCTATTGCCTCCGGTCAGGGATCACTTCCGGTACGACGGCCACAGCGACAACATAAAAACTTAGATGAGGAAAGAAGATGAGAAGTAAAATGGCAAAGATAGATATTCAAGGCAAAGCAATACTTAAGATTCATGTTCCATTTTTCAGGAAACGGTATGTCCTTGGTAGGGATCATGTCTGATGTCTTTATTCGGACAAATCGGCCCATCTAACCTCGATCTTAGGTCTCATCTATGCTCGAGAATGGGGGTTTGGTGGCTCGGCGGTAAAGCTTGATCAAACCTCCATGATAAAGCCGGGGGCTGTAGAGACGCATAAGGTGATCAAGGGTAAAAAAATGCCCCTCGATCTTGCTTACAAAAAATCGGAGGAGGATCACGATCCTCCAAAATGATGGATGGATTTGGCCAATAATGACATCGTACCTCTTGCAAAAGGCGACGATGAAGGGGTCTAAAGGACTTATCGTGAAGGGGTAAGTATAGACAGTTAGATACCCCTCCACATGAGTGATGATAGATTCCTCGGGGGTAGGAACTACTACATCTTTGCCTACCCAGTTACACTCCTCTTTCGCCTTCTCGTGAAGACCTTCGGTAATTGTGCATATGTATCTTGACATCGATTCGCATCGACCCGGTGTCGAGGGTGTATTCTCCATCTTAAAATCGGCAGCAGTGAGGCACTTTGTCAGAACGAAGTCCTCCAGGGGAGGTTCCGCTGCGGCTACGGCGTCGGCATGCCTCGATGAAGAAGTGGTTTCCTTGTGTGGGACGGTTTTTGAGGTCTTAGCCATTCTTATAAATAGAGAAGAATAAAACAGAGGAGGTACGCTTGGATATTTTGCGATGAAACAAGTGAAAAGACTCAGAGAACTGAAAACACTAAGATCTGGGGGAGGCAAAGAACTGTGAAGATTAGAATGAAGAAGATTGAAAGTAAAGTTTGAAAGAATGGAGAATGTGGCTATTTATTGGTATCACAACGATGGTTCAAGGCTGGTAGTGGTCGGCCGTCAGCTGACGCGCATTAAATGCCTAGAAAATTGTACCGACGGGACGTTTCGGTCACCTCTGCCGCTTGTATCACGATGCTTACGTCATGATAAACTGAGGGAAAGTTCGAAGACTCAATTCGTTTCTCGTCATTACACTCCAAAAAACGAGGGGACTATTTGTATACAGTCAAATCGGGCTTCCCTAATTTTGTGTGACTAATCAAAACCAGGGTCGCAGACCAGGGCTCGGCCTCGCGTTGTATCGGACCATGGCACGGAGATGGATTGCTAAGCTCATGAATCAATGACCGATCAAGATCGAGACCAGCCATGATCGAGATCAAGGCGGGGTAAAGATCGAGCGAGGTCGAAGGAAGTCTGCTAAGCCGAATAACAGAAAGCCGAGATATCCGTGACCGGGCAGGGATCGTGGCGGAAATCTCGGCACGTATCAAGTCAAGACAGGACATTTAGCCAATCATGAGATTTCCTTCTGTATTTAGAATTGTACCGTAAATAGAATTCCTCTATTATATAAAGGGGGTTCTAATCATTTTGTAAGGGCCATATTCACGTCACAAAAGCAATATACTCTCTTATTCTTAAGCTATTAATATTCTTGCTACTATGTTCATACTTTTGGGCGAAATATACACTTAATTCGAGGGCAGTCTAGCTCAAGGATTAAAGCTATCATTTTGTTTGGTTTGCTCCATTTATATTTGCAGTTAATTCTATTATCAATTTACGTTTTCTTTCAATTTGTGCTAAGTGAATCGGTTGACCTTAAAATCACATTATAAATTCAATTGTTATCCGTTTTTAGGGTAAACAAAATTTCCTGGAGAACCGGTTCCAAAGTACTATTTTACCATGAAAAGGCTTGTTTGAACTTAATTTCAACGTGAATATAAAGGGCATTTGAGGAATAATAATCGTTCAAAGAGATGAGGTATTTAATCATTCTGACAACAAAAAGAAATCTTTCTGAATTTGGAATTGCAGAGTCTTTATATTTTTAGGTAAGTAGGAAGTTATGACTCTGGTTGGTTGGTTTTCCAAAAATTTCATCCTATTCTCATCATCAGTACAAACTTCAAAACTTTTGCATAAAATCTTTGACGTGACATTTCATATATCGACTTATATGTGTGTCCATCCAAAAAGAAAAAAAGACTTATATATATGTAAAAAAAATAAGAAAACCAAAAAGTCAAGAGAAAAAGTATTTTCGGGTATTCCTTCTCCAACCCCTTTAGCGGTGAGATCAATTTCGAATTGATCCACTTATAGTTGGAGTTCGAAGATTTTCTGGGTTATATTTTTGTCACATTCTTCAATCTGTAAGTTTCTAGATTCTAGTTATTCTATTAATTTTGGTTGTATTTTCAAGAAACCTTGATTGCCATGCATTTCTAGAGAATGAATTCTCATTTGTGCTTTGTATTATGAAGCTTATAGATGATAAGTTATGTCATTTGGAGGTTTTAATATGACCTGTAATTTGCCGTAACATGTATGATCACACGTAATTTTGCTTCTATTTGTTGCATGCAGATGTTCTTGTTAAGGTTGGAAGTTGTGTTTTCCACGCTGAATTCTGGGATCAATATTAATTGGACCGTCCTATTTTTGATTTAAGGAAAAGATTACATTGTGGGGGTGGAGCAAATGAATGTTGTTGGTAAAGTTAGCAGCTTTATAACACAAGGTGTGTACTCAGTTGCCACTCCATTTCATCCTTTTGGTGGAGCTGTTGACATAATTGTTGTGAAGCAGCAGGATGGGACTTTTAGGAGCACCCCTTGGCATGTTCGATTCGGGAAATTTCAGGGTGTCCTTAAAGGGGCAGAAAAAGTTGTCCGAATTGAAGTTAATGGCGTAGAAGCTGATTTTCACATGTACCTTGATAATTCAGGTGAAGCATATTTTATCAGAGAGGTTTCTACTGGTAATGAGAGCGAAACAAATGGGGATTCAAAGGATTTTGATTGTCAAAAAGGGGAAGTGAATGCTAGTGATCTTTATAGAGTTAACAACGGAGAAAGTATAACGGATGGCGCTCTGTCCACACATGATAATAATGATTCTAGTGAAGCTGATTTACCGTCGCGACATGAAGGTGTGACATTGGGTAATGAGCTAGCGGAATTTGGTTCCAGCAGATATGAGAATATGGATAATGTAGATGAGGTGTTAGAATCGCAGGACCCCAGTTCTGAAGTTGTTATGGTGAGTGTGGATGGCCATATATTGACAGCACCCATCTCATCATCGGAAAGGAATGTGGAAGATGTCAAATTAGACACGCCTAGGTTTAATCTAGGCCCTGGTCAGGGGACAGATTTATTTGATGGTAACTCAGAGTTCATCACAGGTGAAGCTACATGGGCTGATGATTATTCGAGTGATCAGGAGACACCAAACGATGCTCCTGCAGATGCTTGCAATGTGAAGAACGAGAGCAATACGGTTGAGCACCAGTTAAATGTTTCTGAAGTAGATGGTCAATTTAGAGTAAATTTGGATGTGAAGAACCAGGAAAATGGCCATGTGGAGGTTACCTCATGTGGCAATAAGAAGGATAATGTGAAGATTCTGGAAGGGGTTGACGATTTAGAAAAGAAGTGTCCTGGGAAACTGGGAGACAACAGTTTGTTAAATCCTAGTACTGACCGTCCCTGCAGTTCTCCTTCACCAGATTTAAAGCTTCAATGTAAAACCCTTCAGAAATGTGAGTCAGTGATGGATTGTAATGGTTCTGACGGCTCAATAGACCATCAGGCTGTTAGTGATAAACATCCAGAGGAACAGCATGATGTATTTTTAGCAGCTGAAGAAATAAAATGTGTCCAGCAAGAACCAGATGAATGTTCTCAATGTGAAAATTCGAAGCGTCTTATAGAAGCTTTTCTCAAAGGTACAAAAACCTGATTCAAGCAAAAGTAGGGTGTCCATCTTTTTGTTGATTACAATTATAGCTTCACATTTAGTCTTTGATTTATTGCAACTTCTCATAAATTTCACTTGTTTTTAGTAATAGCTACAGGGGTAGAGATATCTCTTTGTGGCAACTTGCTTTATGCTGGAATGGGTTCTAGTGCTGCAAGAGAAGCCTTTGATGCAAATCGCATATCTGAGGATGAATTCAGAAGTTCTTCAGAATCCATAATCAAGAACGAGAATTTAGTTGTCAGAATTCGAGGAAACTATTTTTCGTGGGATAGAGCTGCTCCTATCATTCTTGGCATGGCCGAATTTGATATGGAATTGCCTGTTGAATGTGCTGATATCATACCTGTGGAGCGGGAGGAGACCTCAAAATCAGGAGAGGATAATAGTGGGATCTCTTCGGTTGCTTCTGGACGGCGATGGACTCTCTGGCCAAATCCATTTAGAAGGGTTAAGACACTTGAGGACAGTAACTGTAATTTATCAAATGAAGAGGTCTTTGTTGATTCTGAATCTAGCTCAATGTACCACCCTACAGAACCAACAGTTATCACACAAGGAGGCAAGGAATCTCCTCAGGAGCAACTTGTGAGAACAAATATTCCCACTTCCGGTCAAATCACGTCTTTGAACCTGAAGGAGGGGCAGAATATGGTAACCTTCATTTTCTCAACCCGAGTCCTAGGAGAGCAAAAGGTTTGTTGTCTTTCTTGACTCAAAATATTTAGTTCTTATGATGTGGTCTACTGTATTTTTGGACTCTTATTTTGGTTGCTCAAGCAACTTTCTGAAACAGGTTGAATCCCATATATATTTGTGGAAGTGGAATGCACAAATTGTAATTTCTGATGTTGATGGGACTATTACCAAGTAAGATTGTGCACAAAAATTTTGACCTTTAAGATTCATACTAGCTTTTACATGCATCTAGGAGATTGTCTTTTGCATACATGACTTATAAACCCCTCTGAATGCATTAAAGATTTAATGTGTAAAAATAGGAGTTCTGTCACATTAATCGGGAAGGAGTTGGTAACATTTATTTTCTTGAACTGCAGCATAACAATCGAATGATTCTTGTTCAGAGTTTTCGACAGCATATGAATTGTGCTTTGTACTAGTTTAGTAGAACTTCAGGCATTGGTTGAATACTGTTCTTTCTTAAGAAGTAAAAAATAATAATCCACATATTATGTTACTGTTAAAATTGAATATGGATGTGGATATATGATAGTAACATATTTTTGAGGTACATGTTTCATGTCCAGGTCCGATGTTCTTGGTCAGTTTATGCCTTTGGTTGGGAAGGACTGGACACATTTTGGAACTGCCAGACTTTTCTCTGCAATCAAGGTACTTCTTTTCTCTGATCCATATTTGAGATTTCACATCTATATATTTCGTTATTTCTATAAAACAGGAGTACTATGTATTTATGTGTGTGTGTTTGTGTGTATACATATTAGAGACATATGTGTGTGTATACATATACAAGGACACATATATAGCAATATATTTTCCAAATAGCTTATCGACCACACTTTCCAAGTAGATATTATATGCCAAAGTTGAATGTGGCTTTATTTGAGGACTAAGAATCTGGTTTTCAGAATAAGTTCTTTTGTTATGCAAAAGTTAGTGCATTTGATTTTACTTACAGGGAGATGAGTTTGCTTATCCATTTCAGACAACATTCACATTAAGAATCAGCTTAAGATTATTCATCAACACCACCATATCACGATAACCACTGTCTCTACTTTTCTTTACGTACATTTTATGATACGTATCAAGTCCCATGCAGTATGCCTCTGAGAGACACCATTCCTCAAGGAAATAAGCAGTTCTTGGGAATTCCTCTCCAAATTCCTGTGTAAACTGTGTCGCGGAATCTGCTTTATGCTATAATTTTTGCAAACTTATCATCATATGTGTCTAAATATGATTCTTCTAATGTTTTGACCTTTACTACCCATACTGTCTAAAGGTCAAATTAATTGTAGATCATATTCACAGCTAGTTCAGTTGCATCTGCTAAGGAAGACTTTGTGTATCGGTATTATTTTCATGAGGTCACTTGACAAGAGATGGATAAACCTTGTCTTTATCATTTGGAACTGATTCAATGCTGTTAGAATTGGAGAGTGTGACCAATGGGAATGTAGCAATTAAAGAATGATGGTCTTGCAAAATGAAAGAGACTGTAGTGTTCTGCCAATGACTTCTGACAGATGGTCTTGCAAAAGGCTATAGTGTTATACCTATGACATTTAACCAAAATTTCCGCTAGAGAGATAAGACTTGAGTGTAACTAAACATATTCAAAGAAAGGAATATAAAACTTTCATGAGATCATTAATTGCTTAAAGCACTCGAAGAAGAAAAAAGAAAAACTTTTGTGCTCACCATTACTCATCAACAAAAATATTTCCACCTGCTTAGCGCAAGAAAAGAATTATTTTCGGACGTGAGGGGACATCTAGCAGACCTAAAATAAGTAAATAAAAGTTTTCACTCTGAACAGTTTAAGCTTTTTGTTAGGATCGGGAACCCGATTAGTGCGGAATTTAGCCAAACAACGTTATAATGACAATAACAAAGACAATACAAGTTGATAATAATGGTAATTAAAGCAGATAAAGGAGGCACAAATTTAACGTGGTTCGCTCAAGGAGACCTACGTCCATAAGCGGAGAGAAGCAATTTCACTATACCAACAAGAGTACAAAAGAGAGTACAAAATTAGAGTAAATACTCTAATTAGTCCCAAATACCCCAAGAGAATAACCTCACAAGATCACTCCAAAGAAAGGGTTCACACAAGTGTTTCCCAACACTCACTCTCTTACAAAATACTCTATAATAAAAAAGGAAGACAAAAGCTAGTAGAAATACTTCTACTTTTGCATCTAAAGGTGTGTTTGAAATGAAAGAGATGGCCCTCCTTTTATAGGACCCAAACTTGGGCTCCAAGAACTAATAAGAAGAAAAAGGAAATTGATCAACCAATCTCTACCACACAATGATACTTTGGCTCCAAGTAAAAATATTGCCAGCCAACTCTTCTTCCAAAATAGGCTTATGCCTATATAAAATGGACCCCACTAGCCCAAAAGATTGGCCATATTACAAATCTCCACCTTGGCCTAATTTTGGCTGATATAGTAAATTTGCTCCACCTTCTCTGCAAAAGCCCCAATGGGCAAAATCATTCTTCATAAATGCCAATCAAGTTCACGCAAAGCTTGAACTTGACAACTGGAAGAGGTTTCGTGAACATGTCAGCAGGATTGTCTCTAGTGTTGATCTTCTGAACAGAGACTTTTCCATCAGCAATGGTTTTCCGGATATAATTGTACTTGATATCAATATGCTTCGTCCTCTCATGATACATTTGGTCTTTAGTCAAGTGAATGGCACTTTGACTATCACAAAAAATGATAATACCACCTTGGTGTAAACTGAGTTCAGCAAATAGACCCTTCAACCATAAGGCTTCTTTGATAGCCTCGGTCACTGCCATATATTCTGCTTCGGTAGTAGATAAAGCTACTACATGTTGTAATGTAGCTTTCCAACTGATAGCGCAACCACCAATGCAAAATACGTAGCCTGTTAGTGATCTTCTTTTATCAAGATCACCTGCATAATCTGAGTCTACAAAACCAACCAAAGTATTAGTATTTCTCCCAGACTCCAAACATGTGTTTGAAGTACCTCGCAAGTATCTGAGAATCCATTTCACAGCCTGCCAATGTGCTTTACCAGGGCAAGCCCTATATCGGCTCACCACACTTACTGCCTGCGAAATATCTGGGCGTGTGCGCACCATTGCATACATAATACTGCCGACTGCACTGGAATAAGGTACCTGTGCCATATACCTCTCTTTTTCCTCTGACTGCGGTGACTGAGCAGCTGATAACTTAAAATGAGCAGCAAGAGGGGTACTCACTGGTTTAGCATTTTTCATGCCAAACCTCTCCAAGACTTTCTCCAAGTACTTCTTCTGGGTCAGGAATAGCCTGTTGGCTCCTCGATCTCTTTTGATCTCCATGCCAAGGATTTTCTTAGCTGCTCCCAAATCTTTCATCTCAAATTCACTTTTCAGTTGACTTTTCAAATTGTGAATTTCTGTCAAATCCTTAGCAGCAATGAGCATGTCATCAACATATAATAATAGGTATACAAATGAACCATATTTAACTTCCGGAAGTAAACACAACTATCATACATGCTCCTCGAATAACCTTGACCCAACATAAAGGAATCAAACCTTTTGTACCATTGTCTTGGAGACTGTTTTAATCCGTACAAGGATTTCTTCAACAAACAAACGTGATCTTCTTTTCCTTCAATTTCAAATCCTTCGGGTTGATGCATGTATATTTGTTCCTCAAGTGTTCTCCATGTAAAAAGTTGTCTTAACATCAAGTTGTTCTAATTCCAAATCATACATGGCAACTAAGGCAAGCAAGATACGGATAGAGCTATGTTTAACAACAGGTGAGAATATATCATTAAAATCAACCCCTTGTACCTGGCTATAGCCCTTTGCAACTAATCGTGCCTTATACCTCGCATCTTGAACCCCCGGAATGCCATCCTTTTTCTTGAAGACCCACTTGCAACCAACAATTCTCTTTCCTGATGGTGGCTTTACAAGAGACCAAGTACCATTCTTGTGGAGAGACTCAATTTCTTCATTCATTGCAATTAGCCACTTTGCTGAATCAGCACCAGAAACTGCTTCTGAATATTTTGATGGTTCTCCAATTTCTTCAGTTTCCTGTGCAACTGAAAAAGCAAATGAAACACAATCTCCTAACCTTAATGGTTGTTTACTTTCTCTTCTTGGTCTATGTTTGGCTATAGAATACTCCTCTTCTTCTGGTTCAACTTCAGGAGTCCCAACTTCAGGAATTTCAGTTTCTGCCTCAACTTCAGGAGTTTCAACTGTATTTTTCTCCAAAGTTGATGAGCTTGGCTCAGAAGAATGTCAATCTCAACCTCCACCTGCTTCTGTGTACTCTTCCCTTTATCTGTATTAAAAGAACTAGAAGACTCTTTTCTAGAATGTAACATAGAGGATTCATCAAAGGTTACATCTCTGCTAAATATAAATTTTGGTGCCATGGGATCAAGATACCATAGTCGGTATCCTTTCACCCCAGATGCATACCCAAGGAAAATTTATTTTTTTTGCCCTTGGCTCTAATTTTCCATCATTTACATGCATGTATGCTGGGCAACCAAATATCTTTAAATTAGAATAATTAGCAGGAGTAACTGACCATATTTCCTCTGGAGTCTTAAAGTTTAAGGGTGCAGAAGGAGCACGGTTGACAATATAACAAGCTGTAGAGATAGCTTCTGCCCAAAAGGCGTTTGTCAACCCAGCATTTGAAATCATGCAACGAGCCCTTTCTAATAGAGTTCTATTCATCCTTTCTACCACACCATTTTGTTGAGGTTCATTCTCACAGTACAGTGTCGAGCAATTCCTTCATTCTTGCAAAATTCATTGAATTCATCATTACAAAATTCCAAGCCATTATCTGTTCTAAGCCGCTTAACCTGTTTTCCTGTTTGCTTCTCAATCAAAACTTTCCATTGTTTGAAAGTTAAGAAAAAATCACTTTTACTTTTCAGAAAATAAACCCAAACTTTCCTTGAATAATCATCAATGAAAATTAACATATACCCGGCACCTCCTTTTGACGGGGTACGTGAAGGGCCCAAAAGATCTGAATGAATGTAATCCAAAGTACCTTTTGTTCTATGAATTGCTGGAGATTTGAAGCTGACTATTTTCTATTTCCCGAACACAGAACTCCATATTTCCGGTACTTTGGCCACACAAGAGACCTCTTTTGCTGAGGATGGAAAGACCCTTTTCACTCATATGCCCCAATCGCATATGCCATAATTTGGTGATGTTAGAATCTGATTTATCTGATGTTGAAACTGCAGCAGCACCTGTAACAGTAGATCCCAATAGAGTATACAACGTACCAGATCTACGTGCTTTCATGATCACAAGAGCACCATGAGAAACTTTTAGAACTCCACCTTCACCTGTGTACTTGCACCCAAGAGATTCTAGAGTGCCCAAAGAGATGAGATTTTTCTTCAAGTCTGGAACATGTGTAACATCGGTGAGAGTTCTCACCACACCATCGTGCATTTTGATTCGGACTGTACCTTTTCCAATAACTTTGCAGGCAGCATTGTTGCCCATCAAGACAACTCCACCTCCAATAGATTCATATGTGGTAAATGAATCCCGATCGGGACACATATGATAAGAACAACCCGAATCTAAAATCCACTCATTGTTAGATTTGAAACTATTATTAGTTGCTAAAAAAATAGTTCCCTCAGTCTCATCTGCAGCTACACTTGCTTCGGCAGTGTCAGTATTTTTGTGCTCATTTTTCTTTTCTGTATGCTTTTCTTTGTTTTTCAACTTAAAGCATTCAGAATAATGTGGCCTTTCTTATTACAGTATTTGCACATGACATTTCTGTATCTGGATTTTGACCTTGATTTAGGTCTCTCACTACTTGAATCTTTCTTATTAGATCTACCTCTTACAAACAAGCCTTCCCCTTGGTTCCCACTAGTTTCCCCAGTAATATCTCTATCTATTTGTTCTTTTGATTTCAAAATAGGTTTGATATCTTTATAAGAGATATATCCGTAGTATCTCTAATATGCTTAAACGATTGGGGTAAGAAACAAGCAATAATACGGCTTGATCCTCATCTTTGATTTCAGCATCTATGTTATTTAAATCCATAAGAAGAGAATCGAAAGTATCGAGATGTGCAAGTATAGAGGTACCTTCAGCCATACGAAAAGTGTAGAGTTTTTGCTTTAGGTAAAGCCTGTTTTCTATTGTCCTTTTCATATACAGGGTTTTCAGCTTTTCCCATATGCCTTTGGCTGAACTTTCTGCAGCAACTTCGCGCAAAACCTCATTTGAGAGATTTAAAATGATACCTGCTTTTGCCTTTTTGTCAATGACGGCAAACTCCTCGTCCGTCATTTTTTCCGACTTCTTCTCCTTTCCTTGTAGTGCCAAATCTAAGCCATCCTGAATTAGGATAGCTTCCTTTTTTAATTGCCACATTCCAAAGTTTGCACTTCGGTCAAATTTCTCAACATAAGTCTTTGTTAGAGTCATTGTGGCTATTTAAACTAACCCGGTTAGATCCGGCTCTGATACCAATTTGTTAGGATCGGGAACCCGATTAGTGCGGAATTTAGCCAAACAACGTTATAATGACAATAACAAAGACAATACAAGTTGATAATAACGGTAATTAAAGCAGATAAAGGAGGCACAAATTTAACGTGGTTCGGTCAAGGAGACCTACGTCCACAAGCTGAGAGAAGCAATTTTACTATACCAACAAGAGTACAAAAGAGAGTACAAAATTAGAGTAAATACTCTAATTAGTCCCAAATACCCCAAGAGAATAACCTCACAAGATCACTCCAAAGAAAGGGTTCACACAAGTGTTTCCCAACACTCACTCTCTTACAAAATACTCTATAATAAAAAAGGAAGACAAAAGCTAGTAGAATTACTTCTACTTTTGCATCTGAAGGTGTGTTTGAAATGAAAGAGATGGCCCTCCTTTTATAGGACCCAAACTTGGGCTCCAAGAACTATTAAAAAGAAAAAGGAAATTGATCAACCAATCTCTACCACACAATGATACTTTGGCTCCAAGTAAAAATATTGCCAGCCAACTTCCAAAATAGGCTTATGCCTATATAAAATGGACCCACTAGCCCAAAAGATTGGCCATATTACACTTTTAGAGGTGGTCACACAATTCTACACATATTTATCTTTCACTTAACGTAAGATCTGTTCGAGTTTCTCCTGTTGTGTCGTGGTTTAGTTGATTTAAACATACTGCATATTCTTCGTTACGAACGTTGGGTCAAAGAGTAAGATGTAGGAAGTATGGTTATAGTTGTCGTTTATTACCTTCTCTTGTTTTGCATTCTTCCATTTTCTTATTGCATTAATAAGTGATAGCATGAGTGTTTGACACAAATGAGGCTGAACATTTATGACTTCTCACTTGTATTTTCACTAATATTGACCCAAATTTCCTTAATAGCTTCTCGCGGATACTTGTGCTGATATGCATTAGCTTCTTAACTGCAGGAAAATGGGTATCAGCTACTTTTTCTCAGTGCGCGTGCAATTGTTCAAGCATATCTGACCAAGAATTTCCTATTTAATCTCAAACAGGTACTAGCATATGCATTCATGAGACATCAACCATACCAGTTCTAGGCTTCTGAATTGTAGTAACATTTTCTTCGGAATCCCAGGGGAACAGTTGGTTGAATTTTCCCTTTACACATTTTCAAATATCTAGATGGTCTCACAGTGTTCCGATTAGCTTGACTCATAACCCCGCAACTTGGCCTTGTCTTCTCATTGCTTATACTTTTTCTCCTACTATTCATTGTCTCTCCTTCTGTGGACGTTTTTTTTTCTCGGATGAAAAGGAGAGGCTTAGCGAACCATTTTGCTCCTGGTACTTGTCGTTCAACTATATTTGCCACCTTGAGTTTCTTGGATGTGACTCTGTTCATCTTGTCCTTGTGTTGTGGGTGTGATTGTCCAACAGATCTCTCTGACTAAAAATGCTAAATGCTCTGTAGGATGGAAAAACTCTACCCAGCGGACCTGTTGTGATTTCTCCCGACGGTTTATTTCCATCATTGTACAGAGAAGGTATAAGGCCGCATCCTTCTACTGTCTCCTCATGTTTGTAGTCTGAATCAAAGTGCTTGATCAGTGCATAAGAGTTGGACATGTTTCTTGGTGTTTGGCTGTGATGAATGTATTTCAAGATCTTTGTCTTTCTTTACGGTATAATTTACTGACTTTTGCTGCAGACGATTACTCTTGAAGAGCACATATGCTTTTTAAAAAAGCATATATGCTGCTTTGCCACAAAAAGAAAAAAAAGGCAAAATATATAAACAGACACTTAAAGTTGGCATCAACGGTGGCTCTGACACTCCAACTTACCCAATGACCAGATAAACACATTTTCTTGGCATAAATGTATCTCATGCACACCTCGTGCTGATATGGCGAGGTGCATGTATTTCACTCAAATTTGGGTGCCTGAACCCCTTAAAACTTTTTTTTTAAATTTTTTTTCCCCTTCTTCTCCACACTCTGATTTTTACATTCATTTCCCTACCTTCTTCAGCCTGCCATTAGCAGTAAAATAGCCACCAAGAACACACCCATACCCAAATATGTAACTAATTAAAGAGGAGCTTTGTTGGAGCTAAGTTGCTTTCTATCTGTACTTGTAGTTATCTAACATATACTCTCTTGAAAATTTACTATATACTAAGCTTATTTTAGGTGTATTTTCTGGTAAGATGATGAATATTTTGAGTACATGTTTCTCTCAGTTCGATATGTTTTGATCGTTGAGCACAAAAGAATGCTTGTGAGGAATAATTAGCTCCACAACATAGGCTAATCTGTTTTTCTGCTTATCACTCTACTTGGTATGACAGTTATAAGAAGAGCTCCTCATGAATTCAAGATTGCATGCTTAGAGGTATAGCTGACAGTTCTTTGGGCGGACTCCAATTCTATTGAATCTTCCGGTGGTTGCCCATTCTAATGCTGTCTTCTACTTTTCAGGACATCAAAGCACTTTTCCCACAAGATTACAACCCATTTTACGCAGGCTTCGGGAATAGGGACACTGATGAATTCAGTTACAGAAAAATTGGAATTCCCAAAGGCAAAATTTTTATAATCAACCCAAAGGTTGGCAATCCCTGCAATATGCTTTGTTGTCTGACTACAAGATTTATCGATTTACTCTACACTGTATGCCTAATATGTTGAAGTGGGACTTTACAGGGGGAAGTATCAATTAATCATCAAATTGATGTGAAATCCTATATTTCATTGCACAGTCTTGTTGATGACATGTTCCCACCAACATCCAAGGTTGAGCAGGTAAGAAAAAATTCTGTCTTTTCTTGTAATTCTAGTTTTAGAAGACAAGACAATCGATACTCGATAGTACCATTTAGCAGTACGATGCAATGCTATCAGAGTTAAGATCCATGCTGTTATTATAAATATAGTTAAGCCATCGAATAAATTTGCTGCTAGCATGCTTAACATAGTCCAATGTTGCAACAAATGCATGGCAATCAGTCCTTTTATTATTTCTGCATTTTCTTCATTTGTTTTAGCATCTACAAATTCAAGTTAGCAAGAACAAAATTACGTGTATAGTTAATCTTTTTCTTTGTTTTTCCATTGCAAACCACCTTTTCATTTACTGTTTACCTTAGAGATTAATGTGTGGTTTATTATGTAGGCATTTTTGTCACAAAGTTATGGATTTTCATTCTATGTGCAGGAAGATTTTAACGCATGGAACTTTTGGAAAATGCCCATCTCAGATATCAATTACTTGTAGAGATTTGTCTTCACAAAGTTTGTTGATCTGGAAAGTTGAAAGCATGTTATTAAGCCCACTATACATTAATCACTTCTAGCTTTGTGAAAAAGAGGTCTGTCATTATTGATTTTTGGTCTCATATTAAGTGTATAAAAACAGTTTTGTACTCGCAATCAATTCATATTGTTATTTCATTTAAAGAATAAGGTCCTGAGGGAATAAAAAAAATCATTTGACGCCTCTTCCACTATGCTAAATAGTGCCTCCTTTGTGACGAATTATTATATAGCATGTCACTTTAAACCAAATGAAAAAAAATTAATTATTGTCCTGCATGGTTAGTAAGGATCCATATAAATGATACCTAACTTATTTGGTTCTGAGGTGTATCTCATGATAAACAGCTTGTATATTTTTATTTTTGGTTCAAGAGGAAAACATTTTCTGTATTTGACGTTTTTGAAAAGTGACCCTGTACTTTCAAATCAACGTTCAAATTCCAAATACTAAAAAAATACTTGGAATCTATGTCCAAACGACTACTTAACGGGAAAGTGCACAAACAACGGGCTGCTATTTAAGATTAGCTAGTATTTATTTTTTCCTGGAAATTTAAATTAACAATCTTAATTTCAGGATAATTTAGAAATTAATTAATCTGAAAAACTGAAATTTAGGACGCATTGACTAATTCTTAAATAGTAGGGCTTTAGAGTCTTAGAGTTAAAAATTGCTTCAAGTTGCTAAGTTGATTTTGGCAATTAATCGAGTTAACAGCTAACGGCTGAGAGCGAGAGCCTGAAAACACTCCCTTTGGTCCCGCCAATGAATGATTCTTGGAATGGGCTATGGCAACAGAAAGATATCGCCCTCTCTCTGCTAAAGTCTTCACACAACCGCACCACATTGAATCATCTAAAGTCTCTCCATGTATACCTCCTCCGCACCGGCCTTCACCACAGCAGTTTCGCCGTCGGCAACTTCATCACCCAATGCGCTTCTCTTGGACTCATGTCATATGCAGCCCAGCTGTTCGATCAAATGTCTGAGCCAAATTCCTTTGTCTGGAATACCCTCATCAGAGGCTTCCAACAAAATCATTCACCCAAATGTACCCTTTATTATTTCGATCAAATGCGGGCACACAATGTCCTACCTGATAAATTCACATACCCTTTTGTAATTCGCGCTTGTTCGGATTTACTGCAGTTTGCCAAAGGACTAAGTCTTCATGGCCAGTTGTTTAAAATTGGAGTCCATCTTGATATCTTTGTGGGTACTAGTTTGATCGAATTTTATACTGCTATGGGGGATATGAGCATGACTAAAAAAGTTTTTGAGGAATTGCCGGTTAAAGATGAAGTAACATGGTATGCCATGTTATCTAGTTATGTCAACAAATGTAACGACATGGAAAAAGCTCGGGATTTGTTCGAAAAGATACCATGTAAGGATCTTGTAATTTGGCATACCATAATTCTTGGGTATGTCAAAGCTGGGGACTTGGAGCTAGCGAAAATGTATTTTGATAGAGCGCCTGTTAAGGATTTACTCATGTACAATACAATTTTAGGTTGCCTTGCCAAGAATGGCGAAGTTGAATGTCTCTTGAGATTGTTCCATGAAATGCCTTGTAGGGATTTGGTATCTTGGAATACGGTAATTGGAGGCCTCGTACGTGATGGGAGGGTTAATGAAGCTATGAGATTCTTCCATCAAATGGAAAGAGTGAATTTGTCGCCTGATGATGTTACCCTGGCGAGCTTGCTCTCTGCTTGTGCACAAGCTGGAGCTCTGGATACTGGGAAATGGTTGCACTCATATATCGATAGGAGGTATAATGAGTTAAATGCTGTAATTGGAACGGCATTGGTAGATATGTATTGCAAGTGTGGGGATTTAGAGAGTGCTGCATGTGTCTTCGATAAGATGCCCGAACGTGATACTGTAGCTTGGAGTGCAATGATCATGGGGTCCTCGATGAACGGGCAGAGTAGAACTGCATTGAATTTCTTTTACCGTATGAAAGATGAATCTGAAAGGCCTAATGATGCAACAATTTTGGGGGTTCTTTGTGCTTGTGTGCATGCAGGGTTGGTTGATGAGGGAAGGAAGTGCTTTTATGGTATGTTTCAGGAGTTTGGTTTAACACCAAAGTTGGAGCATTATGGTTGTATGGTTGATCTCCTCGGTCGAGCTGGTTTGTTAGACGAGGCATATAATTTGATACAATCTATGCCATATGAGCCACACACGGGTGCCTGGGGCGCCTTACTAGGTGCATGCAAGATACATGGAAATGTTGAGCTTGCTGAAAAGGCCATAGAACACTTAATCCAACTTGACCTTGAGGATGGGGGCTACCTAGCAATTATGTCCAACATATATGCCAATGCTGGAAGGTGGGAAGATGTCTCAAAAGTCCGAAAATTGATGAAAGTAAAAGGCATTGGTAAGTCGCGAGGGATTAGCTCCATTGAGGTTAATGGGGTAATACATGAATTTGGTGTCCAAGAAAACAGACACCCTCAAGCCAGAGAAATTTATGATATGATAGATGAAATCTACAGACGACTCAAGAAGGCTGGCCATGTCGCGAGCACTAGTGAGGTATTTTTTGACGTCGAAGAGGAGGAAAAGGAAAAGGCTTTGTTTTTCCATAGTGAGAAAATGGCTGTTGCTTTTGGACTTATTGCAACTGATAAAAACACTATCATTCGTGTGGTGAAAAATCTTCGCATTTGCGCGGATTGCCATGCAGCTATGAAGCTGATTTCTGCTTGTTTTGAAAGAGAAATAGTAATTAGGGACCGCCATCGTTTCCACCACTTCAAGAATGGTTTTTGCTCTTGTAGAGACTATTGGTGAATCTATAAATTCCCTTCAGTTAACAAACGGTGCTGAAAGTTCGATGGTACTGGCGTTCTAGTACCTAGGACAGGCTATAGAGCAAACAAAATGTCATGGGCGGTTTTCAAGTCATGCCCCATGAGCCCCATGATCCTGGTTGGGCCCCATGGCTCCTTGACAAGCCGCCCAGAGCCTAGTGCATGGATGCCCCCATGGCTCTGGCCGCGCTAGTTGACAAGTGCACCTGCGACTATGTCGCCCCACTCGTCGCGCACAGTGCCGGCTCAAGGGGGAGGCGACTAAAGCAATTGCTTTAGGCCTCCCCAAATTGAAGGCCTCAACTTTTCTTTAGCAGTTAATATTGTGTTATTATAAAATTATTATAAAAAAGATACCAGATTTGTTTCTTTTTGGAGTGTAATAGAGGTTATTTAGACAAATTTTTGAATTTCATAATAAACATGCAATATAGCAAAATAACATGAGTTTGATCACAACATTGCTAATAAAATAAAGTCTTTTGTAATATTTTTTGAAGTAGATTATTTCTTATAAAGAGTAGATGAAGTCATTTTTTTCAAGTTCAATTCACTTAAACTATTTCAAATGTATAAAATTATTTTAACATCTACCAGAATTAAGATTATCAGATGATTGAAACTTACAAAAATGTTATCCTTAACTGCGGATGTTTTTCATAAAATTTTTTTGAAGCTTTGTAAGTAGAGTCACTAGATGTTTTCGATCGTGGGGAGCTAGCAGATAGTCAACCAAAATACGTACAAGATGATTCATAAACCATTATTAGAAAAAAATCAAATAAAATTAAATATAAACTTTTTCACTATAATTTAAGGCCTCTTCTTAATTTTTGGTTTTAGGCCACAAATATCTTTGAGCCGCCTCTAGACGCCCATTCCCATGAGTAGACAATGCTGAAAACGCCCATCAGTAGGCACTAGGCAGCATCCTTAACTCCGGCCTGTGCTCCGCTAGCAATCACTTGCCACATATCCCATGCTGTGTTCCCAGGCCCCACACGAAGTGCATACATGATGAAGTCGAAGACATGGACACAGCCCCTGCAAGTGTCGTAATGGACCAGCTTACTCTTCTGAGTCTGCCTTCGTATCGGTCACTTGCTCGGAATCCTTTGTATAGGTCATATGGCCATTTCATAGCTTTACCTTTTACTTTTGTATAGCTTATATGGCACATTCTTGATGGTTTTTGTGCCAGCAGCATTACGAGGAATTATTTTGAAATTATCTAAGTGCCTTACTAAATCATAAGGGAAAAACATTCTCATGTACACAAGATGAAGGTACTTAAGCTTTATATATATATATATATATATATATATATATATATATATATATTTGGTGGCTCTAGCTTATAAAGTACTTGTGCTACTCTTTCTGCTGAAAATTTGTCAGATTCTTGTAGAATTATTATTCAGTTATTTTTCCAATTTTCTGTTTTCCACAATTTCCATGTTCTATCAAAAATTCAAGAAAAGATTTACAGCATTTTTCCTACAAAAGATGACAGTCTGAGATCAAATGGAAAGAAATACACGAATCAGTCAAAATTTTATGGACGAATTTTTTTTAAGAGAAATGAAAAAAAGAATACGGGATAATGTATATTTTCTTTTAGTAGAAATTCAAATAATATGCACTTCTAACACAAACAAAAACCTTCTGCAGTAGTGTTTGTACTCAAGAATCATCAGAGCCACAGTCAATTTTTCTGTCATTGCTTTCTCTTCTCTTCATCTACCATTAATATTTCACCACCAGTGCAAGAAAACAGGCTAATTTTTCAGAGATATATTCATTTACCACACTGCTGAGGTGAAGCTTCAGTATTTCCAGCACACACCTCCTGCAACAGATTACTGTTCTTTGTATCTTTTTTGAGATAAGAAACAGAGTCTGAAACCACTTAGCTTGAATCAAAGTGCAAACATTGGATTAATTTCTGAATCGGATAATTCCGAGTGATGCCATGAGTTGGTTCGAGTCCTTGCAAACTTATCCCTCTTCCTGTTTTTGCGAGTCCTTTTAGACTTCACAACAAAATAAGTCATGGCGCCTAAAACCCCTGCCATTATAATTCCTGCAAAAACTGTAACAAGAATTGCAGCCCATATATTACGCCTGCCAATAACTATATAAGAGGCAGATACAAAAGCCAGAGTAGTGAAAACCGCGGCCAACCACATTAACTTGTTAATAACTCCAATAACCCTTATATCAGATTTTGTCTCACCCCTGACTACTGTGATTTGTACTACCACAACAGCCAACGACGTGAAGAGTGCAAGAGCATTCGTGATATAGAAGATCTTAAATGATGGGGTGTTAGACGCCACAGCATATCCAGAATCAAGATCACCACCAGGAACTGTGAATATAGCAGCAAAAGCTACTGTTGCAAAAAGAGAGGCTACAATAGTTACAGAATTGGTAGCATTGTTAATTCCTTCTCTGTGCAGCTTCTGAAGTTCCTTTGCAATACCAGTCATGTTTTTGTTAGTCTTTCGCGCTTGTTCAAGCTGGGAGTGTACATTTTTCTTAATTTCTGTCACTGTCTTTCTAAGCTCATCGCGAGGCTGATTCAATTCGTTGGCTCTCAAAGCACCATAACGAGTCAAGCACTCTTTTAGTTCAGTCGATTCTTCAGACATAGGAAGCCCTTCAGCTATGTCCAGAGCTGTTTTATGATCTCTTGTCAGTGCATTCACATTTGTGTCGTCGAGCAGCAAAAGCTCGTGCACTATCTGCATTGATAAAATAGCAGATTATGCCATCAGAAGAAGCTACATAATGCAATAATTTCCGGACAGAGGTGGATTCAGGATTTAAAGTTTATGGGTTCCTGTTGTAATCTCAAATCACAGTTAGATATTTATAGATATTTAGTGGATTTTTTTAATATAGAAATACAGGGTCTACGCAAAAGTTACTTGGTTCCCGAGAACCCATATACTATACTCTAAATCTGCCACTGTTTCCAGACAAAGGAAAACAAGATGCAGACACTAAAGCAACAGCACTTACCTCTGAACGCTTTTTCCGTGTGGCAATATGCAGTGCAGTATTGCCAAACTTATCAGGCAGCATTACAATGGCTGGATCTGCTTGCAGAAGCAACTTCACTACTTCACTGCTAACACCTTTTACAGCCATGTGTAAAGCAGTCTGTCCTTTCTTATCAGTTCTTCTTGCCAGTTGCGGATCCTTTTCCAGCAACGCTTTAACAATGTCCACATGGCCTTGGCGGGCAGACAAATGTAACGCGTTTTTACCATTGGATCTTGATATTTCTAGCAAGCTAGAATCCTTGGAAAGCAATTCATGGACAACTGATGTATGTCCTTTTGTGGCTGCAGATACAAGAGGAGTTGCATTCGATTGGCCAACTGTCTTGCTCAACTCTGGCTCATGCTCCAATAGTAACTTAACAATAGCTGCACATTACATTTTTCAGTAGTTAGGTTCTTCTCAGGCTTCGATGGACTATCTCCATCCTTCTCAAGTACTTGATCAAATACTAAGAAAGAAAAATACGAGCTAAAATATCATTTCTAGGATAATACCAATCAGCCAAAATCATGGATGGTAGTCCAGTGCACAAGGCATCCCACATTCACGCAGGATCCGAGGAAGTGCCGCCCCAAAGGGTGTGATGTAGACAGCCTAATCTAATGCAAGCATTAGTGGCTGCTTTCACGGCTCGAACCCGTGACCTATAGGTCACATGGAGACAACTTTACCGTTGTTCCAAGGCTCCCCTACATGTTAAAAATAATGCATTGAAACTTAAAAACCATCTAATATAAACACCATCACTGGAATGGACATTGAGCCTAATTTGACCTCAAAAACTAATTATGAGCTAAGAATTGTCTCAGACCATACAAAGAGAAGCTTTTCGATGAGATGACCATGCAGTTTTCACATACTAGTAACAACATCAAGCAATTCAATACTCTTTAAGGAAAAGTCTTCCAAGCAATATACAAATGTTCATTACCTTGGTGACCTTGGCTAGCAGCGATATGCAAGGGATCAAAACCAGAGCGATTCTTGGTCGTGATCCCTTCCTTTGTACTATAAGGAAGCAATTCATTAACCACATCAATATATCCCCGTTCAGCAGCGGTGAACAATGCCGTTTCCCCTAATTCATTCACCTCATTCACCATTGCCTCCCTTATCGCCGCCACCTCTGCATCAAACTCTGCTCCGCTCATTGTTTTCAACATTTGTGCATCGATTTCCTCCAATATCTCCCTCACTGCACCCACGTCCCCGCGCTGAGCCGCGAGGTGTAGCTCCGTGTCGTTGTGTCGCCCCGTCACCTGCTTCACATACTTTTTTTTCCCTGTAGGATCTATCCTTTTCCCTGAATTTGATAAAAGTAATGCTTTCCCTGAATTTGATACAACCAAAGCCTTCCCTGAATTTGATGGTATCAGAGATTTGCTTGAATGTGACACCACGAGTGCCGGTGCACGTGGCGACGGCGACGGTGATGGCTCGCCGGTATAATTCATGTTAGAAATTGGATTTGGGGCCGAAGATAGCCCCATTTCCAGATCCATCTCACCTGAGTCACGTAAATTCATGCATTACGTACACAATATATAATAATCTTTTATTGTTACAATAATAACAATGTCTCAATCCCAAGCTAGTTGAATCTAATACTTTTTAAAAGCCTTTCTTATTTTCTTACCGTCTTGCTTGGAAAATTATTATCTTCACTATATATAATCGTAGCAATCAAAATTTTGTTTTTTTTTTTTTTTTTGAAGAATGGAGAATATTAGGAAGTTTTTGGTAAGGAGAAAGGCGGCAGCGGCTGACGGAAAAAGGGAAGACGGCGACGCCGCCGGTGGTGATGGTGGTTAAAACGGTTGGAGTGAAATGATGTTGACGCCGCCGTACTGATTACCATATTCTTAACGACCAAAAGGTTCGGATTTTTTTTGTTTGTTAGTTATATTGGCTTCTAACTTTTGCACTTTAGTGGTTATTAGAAGTACACATTTTAAGTGGTGGACTGTAATTACCTACTCATAAATTAATTTATATACGAAAAGGAATTATCTGAATTATTTTCATTTTTGAAAAAAGCATGTTTATATATGTATAAATAGTATCATAACCCTTTTTATAATTTATACTAGTGAATTGAAAAATTGAATAAAAAGATAAAACTAGTCAAATTTCGAAGTGGTTTTAATAAGTCATCCTCCTAACAAAATAGTAGCAGGTTTAAGATTTATATTTGAAACATAAATATAAAAGACATTTTTGAAAAGTCAGTTTTTGAGTGTAATTAGAGCATGCAATTCTTATCCTCTTCTTACATTTGGAAAGCCATATGCAATTGAATTAAGTGAAATTACACAATCTAGACAAGTTTGTAAGTAGCGTCTGTATAATTTGGATCATGCCAAAAAGAAA